AACTTTATGATAACAGCACCTACTTTTATATTTTAGTTCTCCAATATCATACAAAGTTATCCTCTTCATACCCACAACGTAGTTTTATTTCTCGATTCTAGTCGGAAGCAAACGTTCGATGTACATAGAGTCGTATCAGTGGCAGATAGGGATTGAGAGAATATTGATCTTACCTTTAGCTCCTTGTGGGTTTGACACTCCATACTTGTCACTTCCACCTTTGGAAATTGCTACGATGATTCCCTGCACTTGGGGATTATCAGTCACTGAGCTGAACGTGTGCAGATCACAAAGGTGCCGTACTTTTCGGTACTAGGATCGGCCGATCGTGAAGACGTGTTACTACATCAACCGCGTTGTCATAACGCTTCCACTTACGGTCTACGAGGGTATGTAGACAATACTCTCCCCACTCGTTGCTATGCATCTCCATGATCTTGCGTGTGCGTAGGAAATTTTTGAAATAACTGCGTTTCCCAACAGCATAAGCTGGACCGAAAATCATGGAATGTCGGCGAGGGGAGCCCCTTGGTCAAGACGTCGGTGAACTGCTGCTTGGTCGGGACGTGGAGGATGCGGAACTCGCCTAGGGCTTCTCACGCACGACATGGATGTCTAGCTCGATGTGCTTCATGCGTCGGTGGTGGACTGGATTGCCTGCCATGTACACCAATGAGATGTTGTCATAGAACACCACCGTGGCTTTGGGCACTAGGGCTCGTAGCTCGCCGAGGAGTTGCCGGAGCCAGCAGCACTCAGCGCCTGCATTGGCGACGGCGCGGTATTCAGCCTTCGCGCTTGATCGTGAAACTGTGGCCTGGCGCTTGCTAGACTAGGACACGAGGGCGTCGCCGAGGAACACCACATAGCCGGAGGTCGAGCGAAGGGTGTCCGGGCAGCCGACCCAGTCGGCGTCGGAGTACGCCACGAGGTCGAGGTTGGAGGAGCGATGGAGATGCAATCCAATATCTGTCATGCCGCGGAGATAGCACAGGATGTGCTTGACCAGGGCAAGGTGGGCGGCATGCAGATCGTGCATGACGAGGCAGCATTGGTGCATGGCGTAGGCGATGTCGGGGCACGTCATGGCCAGGTACTGGAGCGCGCCAACCATGCTGCGGTACTCCGAGGCATCCGAGACTGGCGCCCCGTCCGTGGCGGACAGCTTTGAGTGCGTGACGACAGGGGTGGACACAGCCTTGCAGTCGACCATGTAGCCACGCTGCGACAGGAAGAAGCCATCGACATTCCTGGTGATAGTGGTGCCCAAGAAGTAGTGAAGGGCACCCATGTCCTTCATAGAGAATTCCGTTGAGAGTTGCTGTTGGAGACAGCGAAGGAGAGATGTGGACGATGCGACCAGAATAATATAGTCGACGTAGAGCAGCAGGTAATCCATCCCGCCATTGTTGTGTAGCACGAACAGGGATGGATCCGTGCGGGAGTCATGGAAGCCGAGCGTGCGGGCGAACACGACGAACCTGGCAAACCAGGCGCGTGGCGCCTACTTGAGGCTGTAGAGCAATCTATTGAGGAGGAAGACGTGGTCGGGGCGGGCCGCGTCAACGAAGCCAGCCGGCTGCTGGCAGTACACACGCTCGATGAGGTGGCCGTGGAGGAACGCATTGTTCATGTCCATCTGGTGAATTGGCCACACGCGGGAGGCTGCCACGGTGAGCACAGCGCGGATTGTGGCCGCCTTGACGACCGATGAGAAGGTCTTGTCGAAGTGCACGCCTTGTCGCTGAGAGAAACCTCGCACCACCCATCTCGCCTTGTAACGCTCGAGCCCGCCGTCGGCTTTGAACTTGTGCCAAAACAGCCACTTGCTGGTCACAATGTTAGCTCCAGGGGGGTGAGGAACGAGGCTCCATGTTCGGTTCTGCATCAATGCCGAGAATTCATCCTGCATCGCAGTTAGCCAATTTGGATCATGTAGAGCAGCCCACACGGACTTGGGTACAGGAGAGATGGAAGTGGCAACATTGGCATGGAGATTTCAGTGGTACTTAGGGTTGGGGAAGAATTTACCTGCTCGAGCTCGCGTGACCATCTTGTGTGATGGAGCGAGGGGAGCCGGGGTGGGTCGTTTTGGTGATCCGGAGAGGGTGGACTCGGGGGGTCGGGATCAGGTGGCGGGGAGGCAGGAGCACCGGTGTGCGTGTGGGTGGGCGAGTTGGTAGCCATGGTAGAGTTTGGGGAAGCCGTCTGGACTATGGGGGCGCTCATGGTAGGGAGTGTGTTGTTGGCTGGTGACAACGTGGGGAATGAGTGGAGCGACGACGTGGTCGGTGAGGTCGACCACAGAGGCGGAGGCGCGCTCTGCTGTGTGTTGCTGAAAGGGGAAGGAGTTTCCGTCAAACACGACGTGTTGTGAGATGATGACATGGCCGGTCGTAGGTTTAAGCAACAGTAGCCTTTGTGATCTTGTGAATATCCGAGGAAGACACAAGGGACCGAGCGAGGCGCCAGGTTATGAGGTGTAATGGCGGTGATGTTGGGGAAGCACTGACACCCGAAGACTTACATGGCAGAGTAGTTGGGGTGTGCACCGTAGAGGAGGTAAAACAGTGTGTGTTGGTGACGGGGGCGGCACCGCCTTCGGTTCAGAAGGAACGTGGCGGTCTGGAGTGCTTCTGCCCAGTATGAGTAAGGCATGGAGGCATGAACGAGTAGAGCGCATGTGATGTCATTTAGTGTGCGGAGAGCGTGCTCAGCGCGCCTATTCTGTGGAGATGTGTAAGGGCATGACATACGCATAATGATGCCGAGGGAGGAGAAGAATTGACAGGCAGCAAACATTTCAAACTCCTGCCCGTTGTCTGTTTGGACCATCAGGTTGAAGTGAGTGCAGGCGAGGCGTACAAATGCACGGAGTGTCGGTAGAACATCTGATTTCTGTTTGAGAGGAAACGTCCACATGAAATGACTATAGTCATCAACCACGACTAAGTAACACTCAAAACTAGAAAAACTAAGCATGGGTGAGTTCCATACATCACAATGTACAAGCTGGAAAGGGAAATATGAGACATGATCTGAAGAACTGAAAGGTAAAAGATGACTTTTTTCCTAACTGACAGGCGGTGCAGATGTCTCCGTCGGAGCCAGGGGCGTGTATGGAGGTGTGGCAGAGGGTGGAGTCCAGCGCATCATCACCAAGGTAAACAAGGCGCCGGTGTCAGGTATCGCGCGTAACGGCAATGAAGGCGTGGGGTGCTTGGGACAGGTGTGATGGATGGAGAGGGTAGAGCTCGTCCGGTGAATCACAGCGGAGGATCTTCGCCTTCTTCTTCAATCCTTGAAAGAAAAACTAAAGTCATCAAATTCCACGTTAACTGGGTTGTCACGCATAAGAGTTTTAACGGAAATGATGTTTTTGATTAAGTGTGGAGAGACTAGGATGTTACGAAGAGATAGGTTTTGGGAGGAAGTGGGGATGGTGTGTTGACCTACGTCCGTGCCTGCAAGCGTGGATCCATTGGCAACTATGATATCAGGAGAAAAACTGGGGTAGGATGAAGTGAGAATACCAAAGATGAGGCCATGTGACACGTCGCACTAGAGTCGAGGTACCATTCACCACGGGAGCTCGACGACGTCTGCCCTTGCTACACGCTCATGGGGTTGAGCGCCTGGCCAGAGTATCCTGATCCCAAGCCTGCCACGGCGCCGCGGGAGGTGCGCCGGCCGTAGACGGGGTGTGGAGGGACGTCCCCGTGCTGCTAGTGTGCTGGAGGAGCCGAGGCAGGCGGTGGGGGCACGCCGTACTGAGCTGCTACGCTGGTGAAGGGGGTCGGGCCACAAGGTTGTGGCCCAAGGATGCCTGCGCCGGGAGCATGGGGGCGCCAAGGCATGGACCAGGCGTGGACCATGCTCGTCCATGGCGTCGGAGCAGGAGCAGATGGGCGTGGTGGAGGAGCAGCTCCGCCGTAGTGAGATGGCCCGCCCCTGCCGGAGGCCTTGCAATTCCCTTTGCCGCGGCTGCCACCACGGCCGCCCCCACCAGGGCGGTTGTTGTTGTCGCCAGCCCCGCTGGAGTCCGGGTTCGCTGGTGCGCGCGCAGTGTGCAGGGCGATGTCATGGGGAGTTTCCTCGGCTTGGCGGCTCTCCTCGAGGAGGAGGAATGCACGACAGCACAGGAAGGTGGGGAAGGACGACTGCATGGTGAGTATGGGAACAGCATAGCGAAAACAGGGATTGAGACCGTGAATCATTTTGAGGACCTCGTCGCGACCGCGGACATGTTCGCCAAGGTCCGCCAGGCGGTCGTTGGCGCAGTCCTTGAGCCGGGCCAACTAGGAGAGGATGGAGGACGACCCCTGCTCAATGCGGCGAAACTCGGTGGTGAGCCGAACAAGCCGGTATGGTTTACTTTCCACAAGACAAAATATCTCCGAATTAACTGTAATGCATATGCTATCTAGTTACAACAAAATGATTTACTTTCAAACAGCAAGAGTAGAATAAACGAGCAACCGCCAATTGTTTCATAGAAGCTGATGCAACATGTGGGCTATAGTTATCCAAATTTCTCAAAGATGAAATGTTTCACAGATGATGGCCAACTTACAACAAGGTAACCATTCAGTTTACGTTCCATCATTAAGCTTACAGTCATTTTGTTCCAAAAAGCTCACCCTGCAGCATGCATCATAGAGTTTCCTCTGGCGCTATCTTGAGATCCAGGCAAGATTCGATACACGTGGACGAAGGACAGAAAGATAAAGTTCAGACAGACAGACAATTCACCTAATGTAGCATTCAGTTCTACATGCAAAACCCTCCGAAACAGATCATATGGCAGCATGCAACATCAGGTTCAATGATCTCAGGTTCACTCTGGCCAGCCTGCGCTTTCTGAAACCATTTTATATCCAGTCATTATGAATTCTACTGATTTTCGCAGCACATTGTACAGTTGACAGCAAGTCTCATGTGGAACAAAAACTGATAGTAAGCGCAGGCAGTAATATACACAAACTGTTGCATTACCTTCTTCACTTCTTTTCTTTGTGTTGACCCTTCCTCTCCTCCTCTTGCTTTTGTTTCGGAATTTGCTCTTTCAGATCTGAAGAACAAGCAAAGGAGGTACTGTTAACTTGCGGACAGCAATCTGATACAGTTCAGTCTTCAGTGAGCATTGCTTATGAGAAGATAATAGCAACAATTATCATCATAGCTATGTATGGACATGGAATACACAATCAAGTTGCCTTCATAACACTGATAATGTTATGTATGTCTAGTACATGATCCACCGAGCAACAAATTAGGAGAATATCACCTTGATCTCTCAGCTAGGAAGTTTATCATTTAAATTAGGAATATATCTCTTAGCTTGGGCCTTAAGCCAACTACGGATAAGATCCACAATTTGTTACTCAGCTCAGATTGTTAGGTCTACATAAAGAGGATCCCTGTGAGGAATAAAGCAAAGCAAGAATTAGAAGAAGAATTTAGAGGATCAAGACTTCAGGAACTTCAAGGCTTTATAATAGGCCAGAAATCACGTGTAAGTTCTGTACCGTTAGTCCGTTATGTATTTGCAGATCTCAAGACTTCTCTGATAATCCTTGCTATCTACAGTAAAATCAGTTGTGGACTACAAGAGGATATTCTATCTGAGCTTGCCCCTGTAAGAACCTGTTGGTTATGCGTGAAGTACATACTAATGATATATTAATCTACATGACATCTGTAGGGAAGGCACCAATCTGCTTGAACTGTTAAACAAGGTAGCATCAGATGTGTTGGATGGAACTAACGGACGTCATCCATTGTGAGATAACTACATCATCAAAACCTTTGGATGCTTCAAAGTAATTTGTATACCTACTTAGGAAGAGGCAATTGCTTAAGAATCGATATGTTCGACTTTACAATTACATGAAATGAGCCCCTCCAGCAAATAAAAAACAATATTTTCTTAATGTTTGGCCATATATCTAAATTGTTGTATAGATTTGACACAGAAAAAACATCCAATGTTATTTGTTTTAAAATAGTCTTTAATAATATATGTGGTCAGTGTTAGTTCACAACAGGGTTAAACATTCGTATGAGAGGAGAACATGGCCACGTGAAAGGAGAGCACTGATTTGGAGAGGAAAAGAGATGATTGGCAGGGACTTGCTTACCACTGTAGAAGACTTGATTTTGAAATGCATATCTAAAACAAATATGTAGTCTAGTGCAGATGAATGGAAACTACTAACCCCAAAGGAAACAAATAGCCTAATGTGCAAGTAATGGACTTGCTGCTGGCAGTACTAATGGTAATCTTATACATGTTTTATAGTGGACAATGGGGTGTTACCAAGTCATGTCACATCAAAAGCAATGATGATTTCTGTGCAGCTACAATGGTACCTCTTTTACTACAGACGGGTGTCCTCGGGACAAACTGCATAGACTGCTTAGACAGAATAAATGTCACGCGGTTTGCATATGGATTAGCTGCTTTAGGGCGTGAACTTCAAGTGTTGAAGGTCACTGAAGAACCTAAAATTGAACAGCATTCTCCTTCGGCCGATGATCTGATGGATTTCTATTAAAGGATGGGTGAGACATTAACCATCCAGTATGTAGGTTCTGCTGCTCACAGCAAGGTTAGCATCTTGTTATATCTGTGACTCCCGTCCCGAGTAACATAATCTGCATAACACAAATCTTGAAATGGCGCTTTTTTGAACTAAAACTTTGTATCCATACCCTGGAAGGTGTGCAGTTGTGTACTACTATTTTAATGTATTCTTTACAACCTTTGGAGTAGTTCTAATTTCCCCGAGTAGTTCTAAACTTCTAATTGCCGCATCGCTCTTCCCTTTTCTATCATTTGATATGTACATCTACTTTCCCCTCCCTGCTATTGTGTTCGGCTATTTAGCCACATATTTAAGTCAAATAAACATTAAGGCCACCTGTCACCTGAAGATAGGACTCTGAAAGAGCAGTTGCTAGCTACTATCAAGGGTCAGGTCTGTCATACTTGTGAATTTAGCAAAGGTCAGGCGTACCAGGACAGTTGATACCAAATATCAAACGTTTGCTCTAACAGGTCTTCCTATGATAAAATGAACTTCCTAAATCAATTGGTACATGCAGCTTTGCTCTTTGGAAACAAGTTTACCAGTAGAGGTTGTTAACAGGACGAGCACATCTGCCACCCAAGCACCTTGAGTGTATTTTCTGAAAATGTAAAGCTTGAGTGTTTATATCTAAAAATTTTGTGACCAAAATAGTAGGCATTTCTTACTGATTATAGTTTTTGACAAAAGGCCGATAGTTGAGTTTTATTTTAAGTGTTTGCTGTTGTAATCTTGAATATCTTTATTTCAGAATGATTTGTTGGTAGGCAGTCAATTCAGTAGTCAACACAAATCCAACTTGGTATTTTGAATGCTCAGTGTAAATCTTCCATTGTAAGGGAAACTCTAACCGTTCTACTCCACTAAGCTTTGCTCGGACCTAGCCGAACTCCTTAATTTAATGGAGTAAAAATCAAATTTGCAAAGTTCAACCTAGTCTCAACCGAAATTTGCATACCTTCAACCTAGCCGAACACATTGTCTTGACAATCAAAATTTAAACTTAAACCCTAAACTAAACTACTATTCATCATCATCGCCATGGTAGAGGTCGATCCAATCACCGCCCATTGGGTTTAGGCCGGTGCCTTCATCGCGGAGCCGGTGAAGATGCACCGCCCCTCCTCAACGCCGAACTCCTTCTCCTCCTTGCCGCCGCCATCGCCGCCTTGCTCCTCGTCGTCGGAGATGACGATGAACTCACCATTGACCGCCCGCTCGGCCTACTACAGCTCGGGGTACTGGCAGCGGAGGTCCACTATGTACTCCTCAGCGGCAGCCTCTACCGTGATGAGCTCCCACGCCTCCGAATCCTCCTGAGACGTCGCCGCATCCACCACCCCCGGTTGTGGCGGGACGAGGTAGGCGGGCGATGTCCCCCATGGGAATTTGAGCCGAGCCTTCACGTCGGGGAACCGCACCTGCCATCGTTCATATTCCATGGCGGCGAGCTCCGCCATGTGTAATGACCCGATCGACTTCCTCTTGTGGGTCTCCCGGTCAGTGATCTCACCACCCACGTCCCACACGCTCGCCGCCGGACGCCAAGGTATTTCCTCTATGGTTGCCACGATGGAGTGAGGTCGGGGAAGTCAGTGATGCGGCGGGCGGAGGCGGCATCGGCGGGGAGGTGGCAGCTTGAGGACGTGCCACTTGAAGACGAAACACAGGTATGGTGGCACGGATCTGCATTGCAGATCGGGAGCGAGAAGTGGCGGCAATGGGATCCGGCCATTGGGAGGATGGGGCATCGGGGAACAGCGGGGAGAGTCGCCGACGGTAGGGATTGGGGAGGAGAAGAGGCAGAGGAGGCGGGGATGAAGAGGAGAAATGGCGTATTTTTACTCGGCCGCTGAGCGGTGGAGTAAAAATAGGGGCGGCCAAGGCGGCTCATGATAATTTATCCTCCACCATGGAGTATTGCGGATCGGCTTGGTCCCGGTTAGAGGAGTAAAACCGGATTTTTACTCCTCTAACAGGTTATTGGGGATCGGTTAGAGTTGCCCTAACATGCCACAGATCTTCTGTGAGCAAAGAGGGTAGTGGAAGGCAGCAACCCAATCCTAGGAGTTCCTTTGAATTCTTCATCGTTACTACAATAATGGCTACACAGATCCTGAGAAGCAGGATGCTATAAATGTGTGAGCTTCTTCATGTTTGCAAAAATCACGCTCACAAAACCAATCGAAAAAGCCGACATAGGTCTAATATTATTTCACACAAGATTTATGTGTGGTGTTTTCTTAAAACGCAGGTTCTTGGGTCATTTCCAGCCTCAACAAGGCGGACCTCCTCGGTGGAAGTTGGACTCGGATCAGCATTACAATAACGGCCGTCAACGAACTTTAAGTGAAGAAACTGGAAGGTGCTGCTCTTTCATTAACAGCAACATTGCTTGATGAGCTGCTGTACAACATATTCTGTACACAATTAGCTTTTACTTGAACACTGCTCTTGACTTCAATCAGACAATATATCAATGTAGAATTTTTTTATAAAGGGTGGTTTAATTATTACTTAAAAGGTTAAAGCACTACACCCGGCACATTATTTCAAAGTAGAAATTGTTAAATATAGTAACTTGATCCATTCCCTCATTCCATGGGCTGAAGGCCAATATGTGTCCCTACAACAATACAACTGCCTCTAACAAAAATGTCATTGTGGTTCTCACTTCTTGGTCCATGTATTATTTCTCAAAAAGTTGTCACCAATCAATAAATACCCCCTAACCCTAGCACACAACAGATAACCATTGGATATTCACATTGTTGCATAAATTTGTAGCACATGATTGCTAAAAAAGTAACTTTCGCGGCAAACCTACCCAGTACAAGTACACGACTTAGTTAACTGCAAGAAAAAAAATGAAGTGACCAATGGCAAGACAAATGAAAATGGCTAGATAAGTAGTATATATGTACTGTATAACTTATAATTACAAGGAAAGAAGCTGACATAAGGCATGCATGTTGAAATTATTATGTAACTAATAAAATAAGCATATTATAAATCCTATTGACTTCTGCAATGTCGCCTACTATCTATATTACAAATTTGAATAACAACCACTAGTAAAAAAATTAAATGGTCCCCTACAGAATGATTGTGTGATTGATCAAGAGATAGATTCTATTGAGTTCCATCTTCCAAGTCCAAACACACATGCAGGAGTCCATGGCCATCATTGTATGTGGGTAATATAACTGTCTAGAGTGAATTGCAATGCCACGTTAAAAGTGTGGATTCAGTAATTCAACAAAATCTTTGAGAAATCATTTCATACAGGTGAAATAACTACATGCTCTATGGGGCTTATGAATGACGCGGCCTGAGTTTCCTGTTTCTTTTGCATTGCTTTGCGTTGACGACTTTCTCTTTGCTTATTCGGTAAGAGGTAGGACGACCAACCGGACGCACTACACGACAAAATGCTTTGGTTGGCACTGACTGTTCCAATTTGTGGTTGTCCATGGGTTCGCTGTTCACGTTGTGAGTGGCGCCATAGCCCGTTCTTAAATGTTTTCTCATACCACATGGCAAAATGCTTTGGCTGGATTTGGCTGCCTAGTTTTAATTTCCTATCTGTGGCAGTCCAAGCGTTCGTTGTTCACGTTGTGGGTGGCGCCACAGCCCGACCGGAACGTTTTTTCCATATAGTTAGTCGGGTTCTCGGGGATTAGAGCTCATGATGTGATGGTTCTTAGTTGACCATATACCATGCCAGCGAGCCCGCTTAATATGTCTCCCAAAGTAGAGATACATATCTTCAGCTCCTGCATGCCTCAGGCACAAGGAACGAATAACAAATGCCCATCAATAACCACATTCAATCAGATCGGCCAATAATTTCAACCAAAAAGGAAAAGTATAAACCCATAAGAAAATACCAGATTCTATCAAAACAAACAGGCGCAACGAAGGCTCATGACACCTTCTAGGTTTATACAAAGCCTAGAGAACAATGCAAACCTCAGCAGAAATAATGCAGTTCACAACATAATGTTGTAGCCCCGGCATGAACAATGGTCTTTTTTAAGGGACAATGAGATAAAGTGCATTATTTAGACTCACCTTTCTCCGAAGGTGAAGCGCCCTCAACATTGCTGCATAAGATCATCGAGCTACCATCATCATCTATGTTGGTTGTACCCTTCACCAATTCTTCATTTGGTGAACTCTTGGGAACATCGCCAAAAGAATCTTTGGATAGCAAGGCACATCCATGTGTGTTGAGTGCGCTAGAACCCTCTGGAGCACCTTCTCCTTGACATGGAACCCTTCGTGAAAACAAAGGCATAATTTTTCAGTATATAGTTGTTAAGGTTATAAATGAAAAAAGGCAATGAAACTTTTGTAGCGCAACTAAAATTATCCCGTCATCCATTTTAATGACCTCGGGTGCTAACTATTTTCTGTTGAGTTCGGTTTCTAAGAACCAGCTAGTGTTTGCACATACTATGAAGTACAATTATAGGGAGACATACAAATAAACAACACGTCGATGTGGTATTTACAATAACTCTTCTCAAATAGGATAACACGTACCAGTCCAATAATTGCAGTTTGATTAAATGCTCATCACAATACGCATATCATGACAAAAGATGCCAGGTAATAACTCTCGTGTATTGCTATCACTGAACCCCTCAAACACAAAACACACAGTCGGGCTCACGGACGAACGAAAGAAAGGTAAACACGGCTTGCCAACCACCTCGTCGTAGAACAAGTTATGCCGATCTTAACTCATGTCGCAAACCACATAACTCAAAGGGCCCAAAGCAACTAAGGACACATGGAAACCAACAAGTGATCCTAAAAAATACTTTCAACAATGTCACCAATAGAAATGTGTGAGCATAGCTCAAAATAGGTGTGGCGTTGCAGAGTAGAGCTAGCTCACCTGGTATTGAGGTCATGGCTGAGACGTTCAAAGGTGTCGACAAAGCACCACTCCTTCATAGTATTGGACCCCTTGTCAAGCAGTTGATGTGCCTCATCTTCTGTTTTCACCTCCTCTCCCCCCTCCACATCACCTACCTCCTGACTAGGGATCGACGATAGCAGATCCTGGTATTCGCCACGGTCCACAGGAGTGTAGAAGCTGACAATTGGAATCAAATTACAGGAGCGACGATTATGACACACCTTCTTCACCCGGTCCGACTGTAGCTCGATTGTGAAGAGCCCAGAAAACGTGTTAGCGAAAATGACATTCGCTCCCTCGGCAAACCCCAACACGATCGGTCTAGTTTCTGCATTCACCCGAGTACCTTTTGGGAGCAAATTATGCAAGTGGATTACCCGGTTCAGTACCCATCGTGCATCAGTGCGGTCACTCACCTCCCTTGTCCACAGTTTGAGACGCACATCCAGTTCTTCACAAAGACCCAGTCCACCGTCCTCGGACACCATGAGAGTAAATCTCTCTGCATTGCTACCAGACTCGTGGTTTGGTGCGTCAAACTCAGTCAAGCCATGCCTTGCTAAATCGCACTCCAGGATCGACCCACCGTCGGACAAGAAGTAGAGCAGGGATCTCCCAATGAGCAAGCCGCTGGAAGAATTTTCAAAGCTTATCATGAACTCGCTGCGCATCGAGATCAGTTGGCCCCAGGTTCCATGCTCCGACGAGTATACGCGCACCGACGTGACATACTTCTCGTCGTCAGCATCTTCGTCCTCGATGCAGAAGACGAAGGCCACGCCGAAAGGGCCCCCGAGGCAGTCGCGGTGGTCGCACCCATCGGCCGCGCAGAAGACGGCATAGCCCGGCGAGAAGATCTCAAACGCCGGGGGCAGCGCTAGGCGCTGCTGGGCGCCCGTGATTGGCTCCCACACGAGGAGCTCCCAGGAGTCCTTGGAGCGGAAGAGGGCGCGGCCATGGCGGCAGTCGATGGCCCGCCAGGAGCGCCAGTCCGGCGCGGCCAGGGAGAAGGAGGGGGCGGCGGTGGGGACGAAGTGGGGGATGCGCTCGTCGTTCCAGTCGTGGAGGAAGCCGAGCACGGGGGCTGCCCCGTGGTGCTTGTGGAGGCGACGTCGGAATCCAGGGCGGGAGGCGGTGTGGCTCCAGGCCTTGCAGATGAGGGAGGCGTGGAGGAGGCAGGCCGGGTCGTCGGGCGGGAGGCGGAAAAGGATCTCTTCGATGAGCTCGTTGGGGAGCGCCGGCGGCGAGGCGCACACGGTGGTTGCTAGGCGGCGCGATAGAGCTGCTCCCATGGTACTTGCTAGGTCTGGATCGGTGTTTGAGTGTGTTGTCTTCTGGGGAATGGTGGAATCGACGACATTGGAGATTTTGGATCCACACCGTAAATTGCCGTTACTAAAAACGCGAAAGATAAAAAAAAACGAAAGAAAGGAAGTTTGTTTTCTACTCCCTTGTCCTAAATATAAGTCTTTTTAGACATTCCACTACAAACTACATACGGACGTATATAGACATATTTAAAGTGTAGATTCACTTATTTTGCTCCGTATGTAGTTCATAGTGAAATCTCTAAAAAAAACTTATATTTAGAAACGGAGAGACTATTTTGCACAAAATTCGCTTCTTCTTTTCTTGACAAAGGAAACACCTGCCTTATTATTACTTATTTTGCCACAATACAAGAAGGAAAAATACTAAACCAAGTTTTACATTTTTATCTTTATCTTTACCTAATATTAAAGGACGAAGACTTTTTTAGATCTGCATACATTTAGTCTGGATCGATCTTTTTTTCTTAATAGGTTCGCTAGTGTGGTTCGCGTTTGTTTCATCCGTAGTCCGCTAGGATTAGGTTTCGCCTACTGTTTGTTAGGCCGGACCGAATTATTCAGGCCTCTCGGCAGGCACAACGAAGTCTGGTGGAGACCACTAGCTAGGCCCAATACAATTATTCTGGCCTGCCAACCCATCGAAATCTGACATGCTGTTTCTACTCCAAAGAAAATCATATATCTGCCCTTTTTGTGTCTGTGTGCAAATCCTCGATCGTACATGATCACAAAACGAATTCCATACCATCGCGGTCACGCCCCTATTCTCGTTCGGTCTCTTCCCTGAGCACACATGAGAGCTCCCCAGGCGATGAGGGGAATAAGCGGTCAAGGTGCCAATGCGGGGCATGCAAGCTCGGCCGCGGGTGTGCTCGTGCACCATGATACAAGCAGTGGCTACAAGCCCAAGGCCAGTGGCCGGCGTATCCCGTTCGGCGTGGTCACAATCGACGAGCACGGCGGCGGGTGTGCTCGTGCACCTCGCTACAAGGCCAACGGCCGGCGTACCCTGTTCAGCGTGGTCGCAATCGACGATCTGCACCTTCTCTTGGAAGAGCCCGTCGAGGAGCAGAATCCGTGATGGCGAGGTGGCGCTAACTCCCACGCGAAACTACGGCGCGCTCCTCCCGGACCCGACCCAACCCCCGCACCACCAGCCCCACCTCCTATCTACTCGACGACGGTTAACATTTGAGGAAGCATAGGCTTTCCTGCACCCCTTATCAAGCCATTCATTTCTGCATGACCTGTGCAAGTACATTTGTTTTTTTTTGTTTCTCTTAAATAGAACAAGATATGAACTTCAAACTTTACAGGACAACAAAACATTCTTACTACAATGTGGGGGAAAACTTTCAGATTTTTTCGTGAATCATATATAGTAACTATTATTATTTTTTTACTAAAAAAATCTCATTTTGTATATTTATGTCGACGAAAAATCTGAAAGTTTTTTCCCAAATTGTAGTAAGAATGTTTTGTTGTCTTGGAAAGTCTGAAGTTGATATGTTGTTTTGTTTTGACGAAACAAAAAAGAAAAAATTTCATGTAGTAATCTAGTTGTGTAGCACAGATCTCAAAGCGAGGGCATAGATAAGAGGTGTCTGAAAGCCCGTGCTTTATAAATCCATGTTCACTTGACGACGCCCGACACAGCCCGCCCTCCTCTCCGAGTTTCGGCTTCTCTCTGACCTCAGGCCTATGCTGCACGACACTCCCCCCTATGCCATTGCAACTTCCAGCTGCGACGTCTATCACCCTCTCTAGATTCAGCGGCCACCCTGCACGGCTGCACGGCAACTGTTCGGAAAGTTGACATAACAGACAAGGGGTAATTTTTTTTCGGTAGTGTTCGATCCACCATTAATGTGAAAGTCTTCATTGATATACTACTCATGTTTTGTACATTCTGATTGATTATATTAGCCTAGAGAATGGAGAGAAAGTGGAGCAGATGTTGACTGCAGAATGCTGAACCATTGAAGCGGCAGGAAGACGAGTGTATCTTGCAAGACGAGATCCTCGCCATCGTCCTGCGCCTCGGCGCCCAGTACGACCACATCCTCGAGTGCCTCCGCCTCGCTGATCCGGTGCCAGCAACTGTCATCTTCCCAAAATTTAGATGGAAATTTGGATGTTCTTAATATTTTTCTTCTAAAATTTGGATGGAATTTAAAATATACGTTGTATTGTTGTTTTTTAGGACTTACACATCTCGCGTACCCAGGGCCATCCACACATGTCTTGAACATTCATTAGATGTTTATCGGCTAGCTGGGGAGGCCATGAACAATCTTAAGAAAAATAGGTTTGTACCATTAAACACATGCTCCCAAAATGCTATACATGTTATCCTCTTTGTTCTTTTGGTAATCTACTTCATCACTGACTCAATTGTTGGTTCAACCAGTCTTTGTGGATTCAATTCTTGATATTGGCGAATATTTTTCTAACCGGCAGGTGCATGTGCTAAGTTACTAGGCGACACTGACAGTACAAAAGCGAGTATGTTTGAGCTAAGGGCACGAGCTAGGGGGGAGTACCACCTGGCTGCCCAGCAGTTCACCTAGACAAAAATAATTAAGGCAACTGTCCAATTCCACTTTCACCCAATGAAGGCTGTGGTTTAGTTTTCAGGTTTGGCAGCCTATTTTCTCTACGGCAATATAGAACAGATATATAAGGCTGCTTAGTTGCTGAGTATTTTTGCAATATAGATCTAGAGCGGATATAGACCGTGTGAGGTTGCTCTGTATAATTGTGTATTAGAAGATCTTATTTTCAATAACTTTGGTTGACCGGTTTAGTTGGTTGTCATGCAGGACTATGTTGAACTCTTTTGTGTGTTAATGCTTCAACAATACTTCTCGCTCACTCTCAGTTGAAAGAGATAAGGAGCCATTTTTTCAAAAGAAATCATCAGATATATTTCATTTCAGAATAAAGTTACTCACATGGATAATCCGAGCCATACTTAATTCTGCCTTCTCTAGCCTTCGTTTATGTATGAATAGCCTGAACACCTCTATATTAATAGTTTTGAAAGGAGAAAAATAGATAAGTGCATACTGTTTCAATTAAGATAAAAGCAGTTTGAAGTGCATATCATCTTTGAGCCAAAATGTGAAATTGGATGATAAGAATACAGAAGCTAGACCATTTGAACTCTAGGGATTAGAGATGCTAGACCATTGCAGTTTTCCTAAGGAAAATAATCTCAATAATAACATGTAATACTTCCATGTGTATATTATTTATTAATAATGAAATTTGAATTTTTTTGGGGGCGGTCCAGGAAGTTGTTTCGTTGCATTCTACACGAAGTTGAATTTTCATCAGTTGCATTCTACCTATATTGATTAGCCAATCTTATGAAATTCCAGAACTCATCGAAGACAAACAATTCTGGACCCCCTATTTGGTAGGTACTATTTTAACACTCGGAATATATACATAAAACAACACATGTTACGTGGGAACTCTAATTAGCATGCTGCCTATTAGTCCTATTTAATTCCCCGCTTTCTTTTCCCTTAGACTTTTTGTTTTTTTTAGAAAAGGAGGATGACCTCCGGCCTCTGCATCTGGGAGATGCATACGGCCACTTTATTAATTATTCTCACAAGACCTTACAAAGTAATACAACAGTAAGACTAAAGCCGCCGTCTAAGCACCTCTATCCAACTGATGAAGGGGCGCAGATAGCCTCGGGCTAATACCAAACAGATATCACAGCCAAACCTAACATCTAAGACTTGAGAACCCATCCAGGACGCCTGCCGGGCATGGGTCTCACCGGTCCGGCATGCACTCAGATGCCACCGCCGCCAACTGCCACCGCTCCATCTTCAGAACTGTACTGATGCATCAACCTTGCTCGGTCTAGCTATCGTCGACGCCCTTAGACTTTTTGTACCAATGGTTCTTATCATAGGATGTTGTTTGGTCCGGATGTTGATAGATATTCTGACAGTATTCACAGTTCTTCTGCTAGATGTGCCAAATCTAATTATTGCTCTATCGATTCAGTTTTTCCTTGCGTTATTACCTTACAACTAAGCTTAGTAGAGACGACCTGTTAAAAGAGACAGTGTGTTTTAACACTTATTTATTTCAGTTGAATAGTTTTTTTATTGTTTTGAATAGTGTGAATTGCTTTCATTTGCATCATACTTCTGGATAAAAGGACGTACCTTTTGGATACCTTCTTAACCAACTTATGTTCCATTCTACATTTATATCATGCAAAAGAAAAACCAATATAGTTGTTTTAAGCAGGTATGAGTGCTTACACTTTTTTCTACCCGTTGCAACGCACGAGCCCTTTTGCTAGTAAACTAAAAAGGCCGCCCTCCCTAGCTAAAATATGAGCAACTTTGTTGGCTTCTCGTCGTGTCCATGTCACTCGAAAATCACCAATGTCAGCCATCAAATCCTTGTTCTCCTGGATGGGAGATCGAAACATGGACGGATCAAGCTGTTCCAAACAAAGAGCACGAGCAAATCCTTGGTTGTCAGTTTCAATCACTGCTCTCGTGAGGCCAAGTTTAGACGCCATTTGTACTCCCCTTCGGCAAGCAACTAACTCCACATGCTCAGCAGAAGAAACGTTGTTGAAAGCATAACATTGAACAGCCCTGAATGTGTTTCTATAGTCTCGCAAAACCACTCTAGCCCCACCTCCCGACCCATTGTTCTTCAGAGATCCATCTACATTTATTTTAATCCAACTCTCTTTTGGTGGCTCCCATCGGACATCCTTCTGCACTGCCGGGGCAGTCCCCTTTGATCCGTTAACTTCAAGCCACTCATCCAGGAGTGTAAATACACGCCCGGCCAATTCATAAAAATTGTCAAAATTTCTACTTTCTCTTGCTGCATTACGGACCAGCCACATGTGATATAGGGTCATTATCATCACCGCATACTCGGATTCTTTGTTTTTGCACAACCAATTTAAC